ATCAAACCATGCTTTGATACCACTCTTGGGAAACGTGCTAGTTTTAAAACTTTTTGAGGGATTTTGATTCATAGATCTTGATTCATCACATAGAGACAAGTTTTATGCAAAAATAAAATATGATATCTCATTCAATAAAACTAGATTAAATACTTATATCAAAGGTTTGAGTAAACCTTTAAATCTTTCCTCTAAAGTAAATGTTCTCACTTATTGTAAATCCCTTAGCAAGATACCTTCTCCTTGGATCTCCATCTTCTTGATAATTGTTTTGCCTTTAGGAATCACTCATAAGCCTCTATGAATGACCTTGGAAAATTAGGCTTGTGGGAGCCTCCATTAGATGAGAACATAAACCCTAATTTTCTAGAGGGAGAAAATATATTCCTTTTTCCTTCTACTAAAAATCACCCCTATAATATACATAGACCATGTATATTTATAGGCAACATAAAGGTAAAGAAAATGAAACAACTAATCATTCTCAATCTCTAATTCACATGTCTCAAATCTAATATGATTCCAATATTAAGTTGGGCTATGAGTGAGAATCCTTTGGGCTTATTATTTTATTGGCTACAATGAATTAATAATTGGCCCGGTCCATGTACCCAATTCAATCAATTCATAAATTAATTTCTACTCCACTAAAAGAAATTAATTGAACTCCAATTAAATAATAAATAACCTCTAAGTCAATATTGCACTTTGACCCCTCTATGCATAATTAGTTATCGGATAAATAAAGCCATCAATCCGACTACTTAATTAATATATTTATTTTGATACCATTGATTATTTCTGCCTCGATCACAATAAAACATTTGTTTGACAAAAATAATAATTTAATAAATAAATATATAATAAATCATTTTGTCTAAAAACACACGAAGGCCTTCGAATTTACTTTGTGATCAACCATAATCAATACAAAATAAATACAAGTAACAATGATACAAATATTGAAAATATAACCCTCTAACTATTAATTACATAACTACCAAAAGTGTCGGTCTAAGGATCCCGAAGAATCCGCCGAACAAATCAAAGTAATTATTAATTAATAAAAGAGTTTATACTTTTTTCATACTTAAGAGTCAAATGCCTTGACAGTGATATAGAGGAATTGCATACGACGGCTTTCGCAATATATCTCAACCTAACGCGGATTCAGTTTAAGTCTTAATTAATTATGAGTCCATTCATAATTACCGATTATGAACAATTTATGATTACTATTTATAATCATGTATTGATCGCCATCACATACATATATAAATATCTCTTGTAATCAAGTGGACACTTTCAATTCTATAATGAATCGAAACATAATGCATTGAATTCACCAATTGTATAAAGCATAAATATTTCAGAAACGTCAGGAACATATGTCACTATAATCCAAATAAGAATTTACTATGCCAGGGCATATAAATCCCAACAAAATATTCACAAGTCCGTTATCAAAATAAATACTCAAGAAAAGGAGAAATGGTCTCGAGATCTTACAAAAAAAAATATTAGCAATTTGAAGTACCTCCACTACAAAATTTCAAACTAATCTAAGTGAAGTAAAACTATTCACAAGCTTCAATATCCACCAAATCTCAACTCTGACCAATTCAAGACGATCAACGTTTTGGCTTTGTTTCTTATTAGTTTCAACTACAAAGATCTCTCTCTCTCTCACATTCATCATGAATTTATAATATATATATATATATATATATATATATATATATATATATATATATAAAACAAAACAAAGTTAAATGGAATGCAAGCCAAAAGAAAAAGATAAATGGAGTGCAAAGATCTGCTCTCATTGAAAGATTATTACAAAATTAGATTTGTAATTTGGTTGCCATTAATCATGTTTATTATGCAGATTTATTCATTATTACAAAGTAGTTTGGTTGCCATTATACATGTAAATTTATTCATAATTTTTTTTCCCAACTCTAATGCAGAATTTTTTTTTTTTTTTTTTTTTTTTTTTTTTTTTTAACAAATTATCTCAAATCATAAAGAAAAATGGATTATTTTACATATAAACTTATAATTGTATTCATATATATAATTTTTCAAAACATAAACAAAATAGTCTTTACCAAACAGGTATTCTGTTATTGATTCAGAATTTTTGATAACAAAACACTAATCCCCAACGTGTTTTGTTTTCGGATTCCTTAAAACGCATGACAATACTAAACGCGTTATCATGTTTCTGATATACAATTATCAAAAACAAAATAATCGTTACCAAACATGAATTCAATTTATACAAAAAACTTACCAATACTAAAACGGTTATTTTCATATCATACCAAACCATAACATATAATGTTATCGCCATCCAAACGGACCCTTAAGTGCTTGGCCCTTTCCACTCGAGCAGCACCACCATGCCTACGAGTTTTGTCATCTGAGCCTTGCAATTCCGCCTTAGCCAACAGAGAGAAGAGGGGGTGGAACCCACCATGATCATGGGTCTCAACTCCTCTTCTCTTAATCAACTGGGTGAATTCCGCCTAAAATTATTATTATTATAAAATTATTATTATTATTATTATTTTTTCATGAAGTATTATTTAGACTTATCTTTAAAATTGATTAGGGTAGCGTAAGAGTTGTTTGTTATTATTATTATTTTTTATTTTTTATTTTTGAACTTGCTCCATATGCTTCATCAGGTGAATCCAAATTAACCCTTCGACTACCATCTACACTACTCGACTTATAAAATAGGTTCAGCAGCATTTTTCTTTCATAAATTAAAATAAACTTTGGTTATAATAATTCAGGAACCTTGTTATACGTGTATATAAATAAACTTTGGCTATAATAATTCATGAACCTTGTTATGTGTGTGTGTGTGAATAAAAGCATAGTCACCCTGTGTTGACTCATTAACAAGAGTATGGTGAGGCTCCTAATAATTTGTATTCGAGACTCACATTGTGATGACTCGTTACCAAGAGTGTAGTCAGGCTCCTAGCAAATATTTGTCTCATCATGCCTTTGTAGGCTATATACCCAAACCGACTCAACTTGTATACTCGTTACCAAGAGTGTAGTCAGGCTCCTAGCAAATTTTTGTCTCATCATGCCTTTGTAGGCTATATACCCAAACCGACTCAACTTATATATATATATATATATATGTATGTATACATAATGAGGTCGTGTGATGAAATGGCAACGAAGATGAAGTGAATGTGAAGCTATAGTATATAGTGAAAATGGAAGGTTGTTGAGTACAGAAAAGACGGTCTGACGGAGAATATTTGTCTTGTAGCCCAAATCTGAATGGTACAAGAACATGGCTGACGAAGGACATCACGTTCATATACACACACACATGGCTGAGAGTATCTGCACTTGAGAGATGATGATGTTATATATATACATATATACACACACACACACACGCACACACGGTGTAGATAGTTTGAGTTCATTACTCTTAGATTAAACCTGAGCAAAACTTGCTCTGACACTCTTTTTAGGTTTGGTTTAATATGCCAGACATCCCTTATAAAATAAAATGTCTAAATTACCCTCCATCCCCAATTACTCTCACTACCCACCTATACTCCCATGTCCTAAAAAATACTTGAAGGTGGACTTGTTTTGAATACATTAAAAAATCAAACAATTAAGTTAATGTTGTGTTTGAAAAGATTGAATTCCGGTGATCTTTCTATTTTGAGACGTGAGAAAGTATATGCGATAGCTAAAATTTGCAGACTCCAAAATGCTGACGTAGCTTTTGAAAATGCTGATATGACAAATTTGAAGACCCAAATTTTAGAAATCCATCCGAGATGCTCTAAGTCACATATGGTCGAATGGTTAGGTATTGGACCGGATGCTCTCTCCCATAACAAAGAATCTCAAAGCTGGCTAAAGTTCTTAGTAGGCTGCTAGGCATGGGCCAGTCCATTGCCAGCCCTGTATTGTTTTTTCAGATGCAAGTTTGGGTGGAGTACTAATGAGCAATTCCAACAGCTGGATTACAAAATAACACAAACATGATTCTCAACTCTCTAAACGGTGTTGGGGTCACATGTTTGGATCAAGATTCAAGGGGAATTATCACTTGATTGGCAAAAAGAGGAAATGAAGCCTGTTAGGAAATGAAGCCTGTTTGGTTCAATTATTCCTTTACTTAGAAAACTGTACAAAAACATTGTGATTGTAATTTTCAGACAATTCAGTTAACAAAAAGTCCGTCTTTTAGTTATTTGAAAACAGTTTTGTTCTTACTATATCTCTGTTCTGCTATAGATATAGTCGATTTGTGCTTATGCCCTAATGTTAAGATGTATCCAAATGTATTTTAAATTTTTTTCTTTAAAACGTTGTGCTTATCTTTGATATTATGAGAGTTTTACTTAATTTCTTATCTTTTCTCTCTAAATCTCCCACTTCTGAGAGTATGGCAAAAGAGAGACTTGGAGAGATGAGTTTTCCCTCCATATCTCTCTTCTATCTTTGATGACAAACCAAACATAAAAAGCAACATCCCTCCCTTTTCGTTTCTTTTCTTTTACTTCCAATTTTACCAATCCAAACTAGCCCTTAATTCTTAAGAATTATTTTTGTATCCCAAACCAAACAAGCCTTAATGAATTTACCACCATAACCTCTTCCATATATTTTGTCTTTTATAAAAATAAAGGAAATTTAGTATTAAAAAAGTTTCTTTAAAATTGTTAGTCTTTCCTTCCATTTCCTTCCATTTTTTTTTTTTTTTTTTTTTTTTTTTTTTTTTTGAAGGATAACTAAACCAAACTAATTAAGCTTAAATGTATCCCTCCAAATCCTTCCATTCCCTTTCTTTTCCTTCCAAAATTTTATATCAAAAACAAAAAATCCTCTCTTCATTTCCCTTCTTTTCTTTAACTTTCATTTCTTTCCAACCAAACTGGGCCTAGAATAAAATAAAATGTCCTCAGGAATAAGAAAAAGGATTAAAGGGACGATACTGGTTCGCAATGAAATCAACATGGTTTTTATGTTATGTTAGATAAAAGGGAATAATTTTATTTCCAAAGACATTCATGCAAGAAACATATCACTTACAATCTCGTTTTCACCCTTTATGTGTAATAAGAAAAACAACTATTCAATCTACCACATTTACCAAGAAAAACTGCTAATGAATCTATCATATAATATCTTCCTCTGTACAAACCTGAGAACTGAATTGCAGAATTCTCTCCCAATTTTAGAACCAATTCAAAAATATGGATGGAGAATGAGAATGGTTTCGAGCTCAAGCAATGTCCCGGTTGCAGAGGTTGTAACCAGATATGAGGGAGCTCAAGGCAAAGGCAGCAAAAGCCAGGAAGGACATCCCGATTGATGCACTAGCCATCTCCGTGAACTCGTCTTTCCCCCAGTTCGATACCCAATCAATGACTCTGGTGGCTGCCGATGATGATGCCGACATCAGAAGATATGCCAGAATCTGCGTTTACATCAATAAAGAACAACAATCTCTCAGCTGAAAACTCCGATCATATTATAGAGATAGTTACCGTTAATGTAGGCAAATAAGAAGTACTGAGAGCATTTCCAGAATCAAACAATTTGAAATAAGGGAGGGGCGCATTTGTGTGTGTCTAAGCACATCAAAGACCGGTGCAAAGAGGAAAATTCCGTGCTTATCCTCGATTGAATTCCCCAAACTAGAGATGGTTCAGGTAATTGTTAAAAATACCAAATTTGAACAAGCATTCGCCCAAGCATAGTAGTTAAAGGCGCACCTAAGCTCCAAAAAAGCCCCAAGCTCATAGCTGCCTCAACCTACTACATCCCAGGCACCCTTCAATCAGGCTCACATAAAGCCACACTTTTTAATAGGCTTCAGGCTCAGAAAAGGCGTGCCTTGTATTTTTTAAACATTTATTAATATAATTTTCTTTTTTACTTAATGACTACTAAATTAAAAGTATCTATATCATATATCGTATTGTTTAACCCTATGAAATTGACAAAATTCATAAATTTATGATTCACTACTTAAAATAAATGCAATTATTGCTTGATTATGAATATACATAATAATACATGTTTAAATATCCATTACTATATACACGCGCCTTACTTCGATCAGGCTCACGCCTTATACTGCGCCTAGGCTCCAGAAGGCCTTTGGCACCTTAGCGCACCTTGAGCCTTTAACAACTATGCACCCAAGGATATTCGAGTTGGAAATTATGAAGGATTAAATCTATATACTTGACCAGACCCTGGAAACAAGTTTAACTCGAGCAAAATGATCACAACAAACCAAATGCTAAATTCTTCAGTGCCTGCTGTGAAAACACAAGACTACAAATCGACCGGTGTGAAACACTATAAAAGAAGACGCATCACAATGAATCCTCTGGGCGACAACCACTGATCATTACAGCCATTAAATGGAACTGTCCAATGGAGACTAATATCTGGTGGTTGTGAACTATAATGAGGCACCAGCTAAGTGGACATATGATACAACCATCATTATACTGAAACTAGCTGTTTGGTATTTCACCTATATTTTGTAAAATTATAAGAATGCTCATCCTCCTCCATACCCTGTGGCATGATATAACAGTGGAGCAAACTGAATCTCGGATTCCCATCAGATGGAATCAACCCAGTCACGACTTGCTAAATTTATGTAAACATTACACGTTATGGAGGTACTCTTCATCGATGTAGAAAATGTATTACTTGCCTGGTCCATCAAGAAATCAAAGTGATAACGGAGGTGGTGAGAGATAACATGCTTCCCGGAAATCAAATGATAGGCTAGATCATATGCTTGAAAACCTGAATATGCAAATCCAATCACCGTCACAGCTACACAAAACCTGTCATCAGAGGAGTTCCATCATCATGTAAAATCACTGGAGAGACAAAAAAAGAGAAGCAAACATCGTGTTCCAGTAGGGTGGGGTGCTTCCCATATGCATTAAAATGAGAAAAATTACTGTTACATGCAAATATCAGCAGGCAATACTTCAGGCAATAGTAAGGACCGAATATAGTTTCGTTGCACAATCAATCATCCAACAAAAATTTTAAGTCTTGTATTGGGCCAAATCTTCAACGCGTAATGATAATTATTGATGATACGAAAAATAAAGTAATGTTAAGTTTAGGTCAGAAGGAAGAAATCAAATACAAATAGAAGTAGTAGGGACCAAAATTCTAATGTTTCCCAAATAGAGAAGTAGAGAACCTCTGCAGTTTTCTGATTTTCAATCGTGACTAATAGAACATCTATTGATTGCTCGAAAGATGTAAAGAGAAACATACACTTCCGGGATAATCTAAATACCTATCTAATAATAGAAAAACAGCACGTAATTGACGCGAATTCTTACATAATATTTGCTGATTCAAAGTCCAATAAGTGGAAAGGGTGCAACTGCAGGCATTGTTTTTAAATACACTTCGAGGCAGATTTATTGGTTGATTCCATGAATGAATAATAAAAAGGTTCCTAAATTATTAGAATGCAGCACTCCAAGGATATGATAAAGAGAATAGATTACATCAGGTGCAAATAAAAGGAGTGTCAATGATGCTAGAGTACCAAGGCTCACAGAGAATTGGACTCAAATCCATGACATCAAACAAAGCAACAATGGAAAATTTCGACTACTCCATTAAGTTGATCAAATTACGGTGAAGCTCAGCACCAGCTATTTCAAAGGCGTTTGCTAGGCCTAGATGTATTTCTTTGCTTCAAACTTATTTTCTTTCCACAACATGTTCACAAGAACCGAGTATGACAGGTATCAAGTAACTCCAATGTTTGCACGAACCAATGAAGTAGCTTCTCCTCTCCTAGATCCCGCCAATTGTGAAATTTCAATATTTGGAATTCCCCATGGTGGTTTCGTTAGAATTGGGTTCCTTCGAAACTAAAACACGTCAATCTTTTGTGGAGTTGTTTTATTGCAGATGGGTTGGTCCTTAGCAGCCGAACTGCATCAATCTTGTTGGGGAAGACCACGAAAATTAAATGCCACGATGTATGAGCTCAGATGGAAGCAACTGCTTTGCAGCCTTTTCCTAGTGTTGATCACAGTTTTTAGTTTGTAAATAGAAGGGCACATTTGCCTAACTCGCTGAATGGTGTATTAGTTTTTGGGAACCCAAATGTTTCAATTTCTGTTTTATTAAATTTTGTCATTTAAAAGTTAAACTAATCTCAACAGAACTTCAAAGTAATTCATTTGGAGATAATTCCACAACTTGTAGCAAACTCATTTTAGTTACATTTTACCCCAATTGTAATTGATGTATCTATCCGACTTTGAAGTTGGTGACTTGGAGAATGTTAGTGTAATTATAAATTCCACCAATTTGAATTACAAACACATGATTTCTATTAAGCACATCATCATTAGTTTCCCATCCGGTTTCTTACTAGAATTTCCAATCAACTCAAAAAGAAAAAGGAACTGAGAAGGAAATTACATAAACTCAGCACGCGCGCACACACAAGAAATGAAATGAAAAAAAAAAAAAAAAAAAAAAAAAAACCCAAAAGGAAGAGAAAATGATACAAGAGAATAATATAATTTCAGATATTAATCTTAATCGTTTATGCAATCAGGATCCTTTATTGTAGGGGTCATGGTGCTGTAGCTTGCTGTAGTGCACTCAACATTATCATCTCAAAGGAATGATATTTAAAAGATTTCAAAGCCATTATTTGAGATTTAATCATGATTAGATGTGTTAAAATATTGTCTTTTAACACCATTATTTTTAACAACCTAGTGATACTTCTTCACTTTCTATGTAGAAGGTTGATCGTTTCGTAAGGACAAAATGGGTGTGAGACTCTGTTATTTGGCCAAATAAAAGTAAAAAATAAAAAAACTATTATTCTTAGTATTTAACAAATTATTTGGAGACTCAAACTAATTGTGTTGAACAAAGGTTTGTGTGCTGAAATAGAGATTTCAACACCATTATTGCTCGATTCAACCCCATCAATTTAAGTTCCAAGTAATTGCAGTGCTTTTGTTTTTATCAGAAACAGAAGTCATGTTTTTGCTTTGGAGTGTGTTTAATAGTAATAGGAAGCATATTTGTTAATGTAAAATTTGTGACAAAATTCATTAAATTAAAAACATGAAAACATGTTTGAAAATGGGGTCATTTAAAGTTTGTTTTTTTGCTCATCTCTACCTGGCGTAAGTAACAGAAACACCAATTTTGGTGGTTCCGGTGCTGGCATCTTTTTCGAAAAACTTTACCATATGTGTTTTGCTTCGCTACCGTACACAGTCAGGAAAAAATATGAAGCAAAAGCGGTTGCAAATAATGATGTTGAGTGGCACTCTACAACACCATAACCAGTAAGATCCGGACCCATAAGCTTTTAGCAGAGATTATATCAATTCAGGTATTATGTATTTTATTTTTACATATATATATACATACACACACATATAAGTAAACGGAAAATGGAGGAGAAAGAACAATTATTCAAACCTGTATTCAATATAGCGATCAAAGGAATCACCAGTCCATCCCTGAGTCTTATCAGCCGCCATGACCGAGAATGAAATCAAGCACAATATCATCTCACAAACCCTAAACCCCAACGCCGCTCTGTTCATTGTTGACGCCACCACCGCCCTCGACCTCCTCTCATCGCCGCCAAACCCTTCCTCTACCATTGTTGGACCCACCTTCGTAACCCCCGCCGCCACCTCATCCCTCACCGCCCGATTAACCACCATTAACGGCGGTGGCGGGGGCGGTAAACTCCCCGCCGGCGGATTCAAATTCTCCTGCGGAGCGAAAGCTTTACGGTGGTTCTGAGTCGGAGACCGGACAGGCAAGTTGTACTTGTTGACGGCCACGATCGCCTTGGACGGCGGTGATTTTTCCGGCCACTTGTCGGGGCCGACGGAGCGGAATGGGGAATCTGATCGGAGGGGAGAGTAGAACGAGTCGGCCTGACTCGTCTGTGACTCGGTGTCTGACATTGATCTCTTCTTGCTGTGGCTGTTGGGTAACTTGGGTTGGTGTTCCATTTATTTCGTCTGTGGCATTGATTTCTTGTTCTTGCTTTGGCCGTTCTGTAATTTCCGTTGGTGTTCCACATTTATTTCCTCCCACTTTCTCTTTCCCTTGTGATAAAGGGAAAGAAACAGGAAAAGGAGAAGGTAACAAAAGCTTTGTTTGAGATATTGGAAAAGAAAGTGAGAAAAAAAGTGAAGAAACACTTTCGATTTTAAAGTTGAGATATTGGCCCGACTTGTGTTCAAAATCAAACAAACTTGAGTTAGGCTATGTTTGGTCACAACATAGTTTTGATACCCAGATTTATAATAATAATAGTAATAATAACACACAAATAATATATAATACTGCGTATGTAGCCGGGGGGTTGCTTTCAATGTCTGCATTGGAGACTTAAAAAATATAAAAATATATTATTTTATATAGTTTTTAGTTAATTCCTAATATATTTTAAATGGTATGAAATTTATTTTTGTTTAAGGATAAATAAATAAAAAACATTTGGCAAGGAGTTAGAACCTAAGTCACACTATTTTTTTAAATAAGTATTGCTCTCACGTTTCGAAAGTACCTTTACTCAAATTATTATTACCAGTTATGACTAAATTCTCCTACTTTTAAATTTGTTTTTGCTGTTATAATACTTATTTACCTCCTCTAAGAACCTTTTTTTGACAAGGGAGTAGCTTGGGACAAGAGTCATTCTTAAAGTCTTGACTTTGAAGTTGGAGTCTAAAGAGATGCCAAACCCTCTTACTAGGACTAATAAATCCAACTCTAAAATAGGACAAAATTGAATGCACGAGTGTAAAGGTCTAATAAGAGTTTTAAAGTAGTTTTAAGACTATATTTAATTGAGATCATCTTACTCCCTAAGAAACGAAATTGAATAAGTTCTTGTGATCTGATTCAATTTTATATTAGATATGTTGGGTTTGGTTTAAGGAAAAGGGTACTGGAGAGTTAAAGAAATAAAAAAGTAAGTTCGGTTAGTATGAAATATTTTTTCAAAAAAATTGTTTTATAATTTGAATAATAAAAAATTTAACAAAAAATATTTAATTACATAAATTGTCGAGATCTAAGTCACATAGAGCGGGAACGAAAACGAGAGCAAAAGCACGAGAGTAACATATCCCAAAAAATCTTAAAGTGGGAGCGCCGCATTATAAACTTATAAAATATTCGTTTATAATAGTAAATATATATTTTAAATAAATTTCATGCAAATAAAAAGACTGAATCAAATATGAGTCCATTACAATCAATATAACCTGTTTTATAAAAATGCATAAATTAATCAAACATGACAATCAAACAAGCTGCTTTATAAAAACAAAAACATAATAGTGAATAGGGCATAACAGAAAAATAAAAATAAAAATAAAAATTTACTTCTAAGCATAACTACATAACAGCAAAATAATAATAATAATAATGAATTTCATTTATTTTTATATATTTAAACTGTTTTAAGTTCTCAAGATGACAATCATTATCTTTGAAATAACAATCTTCAATAGCAAAAGAAAAAGACAACAATACTTCAGTTTGCATATTCTATTACTAAACTTAAAAACAAACATGAAATATTCAAACTTTCAAACCCAAAAGCAAAATGAGACTACCAAAAAAATAAAATAAAAATTAGAGAGTGCAAAATAGTACATTAAAAGCTTAATAAAAAAAATAAAATAAAATAAAAAACTGTTAGAAGTTAAGAACTAAATGAAAACAACTAGTCTCTTTGATTTGTCTAATAAAAAGAAAAACCCAAAATATATGGAGAGAGAGTAAAAAATAAAGAGTGAAAATCAAACCAAATAACAACGAAAAAAAACTAAAAATAGAGAAGGAAAGATAATGAGTTACTCGACCATCATTATTCCTTACTCCTTACTTGTTATTGCTCTTCTTGTAAGAGTAATACAATAAATCAAAGACTTTGTTTGAATCCTTCCTTTAGTTCAAATAGCCGAGAGAATATAAAATGTTTTAAGGGAACTAATATTCACACAGAAGATTTGCACCGAATTGTTGGGCAGAATGATGTGGCAGTCCAACTGGCAGAGAATGTGATTTTTTACTAATCTGCTTATTCACTTTTACTGTTCCATCACTACATCTAATTTCATAAACCTCTCTACCATCCCTAGTTTCTCAGACGATGTTTCTCTCATCATCCTCAATTTCTCTCTCTTGCACAAATTAGAAACTTGTTTCTCTGCCATCCCCAATTTATCTCTCTCTTTCACAAAATAGAACCTAATTTTTCAACAGTGTTTTTTTTTTTTTAAATCTGATTCGACGCGATCTGCAACAACTCCAAATGTTTTGACGATCTACAACAAGCTTTTGACGATTTGCAACTTTTGACGATTTGTAGCGTACCTATGGTAAATCAAATATATATATATATATATATATTTATCAATCTCCCTGTATATGTATATGTTGTTGCAAATTGGTTTCTATTTTGTGCGAGAGAGAGAAATTGGGGATGACAGAGAAACGGGGTGCAAGAGAGAGAAATTGAGGATGATGAGAGAAACATCGTCTAAAAATTGGGGACTGCAGAGAGTTTTTAAAATTAGGGATGGTGAACAATAAAAGTGAATAAGTAGTTTAGTAAAAAATCACGTTCTCTGTCAGTTTGACTGCTACATCATTCTGTCCCACAATTCGGTGCATGCTTTCGGTGTAAATATCATTTTCCATGTTTGAATTTTTAGAACGAAAATAAGAGTGAATCAGGGATATAAGAAATCAAGACTCAATTACTCAAGACTTTGTTCTCTCCTTTCAAAGAAATAAGTGAAAGAACCTTAACTTAAGAGTAGAGAAAAATCAGAGATTTAGAATATGAAAAGTTATTCCTTCCTTTATTTCTTTACTAATAAATATTGAAGGTAAGTAACTAAGTATTATTAAATATTAACTCTATTATTATATTATTTGACCTATAAAGGACATAGTTTACTTAATTAAATTTAATTGGTTACGTTTTGACATAATTAACCTTATTTGGTCTGTTTTAGTTGGGGGTAAAACTGAAACTTCTCAAGATTCACTTTAAATCCCTAAATTTATTTTTCAAAGTTGTCGAATTCTTGAACAGAATACATGTTTTTTCCTTACACAATTCGTCGAATTGAATATTAAAAACTGGTGAATTCTTAAATTAATTTGCGAATTCATAATTTTGAATTCGCGAATTCAAAAACATGAGAGTATGAATTTTTGGCGAATTTGCTCTTAAAATGTTGATTCACTCGCGGAGCATAGAGCACCAGTGATTTGAGCAAATTATGTGACCTAGGCCGAGATCCCAAAACGAGGTTGTTATATTTTATTATAAATAAGAAATCAACTAAGGAAATAAATATTACCTTGGAATGAAGTCACGTACTCTAGTTAAGAATGAGATTGAATATAGTAACTACATAGGAAAGAATAATGTCATTCTTTATTTTTGTTTGGTGGATGAAAAAGAAAAGAATGAGGAATCACTTTACTTTGTTTGTTGAGAGAAAAATAAAGAGAAAGATTGTTAATATTAAATTTATCTAATAATTACAAAGTCTAGTATTGTAATTTTCTTTTTTTTTAATAGTCTTGCTTCTTTTTCTTTCTCTCTTCCATCTATATTTGAAGGAATGAAGATTTGTGAAGCATGACTCATCCATTCTCTTTTTTATTCTCTCCTTGTCTTTGTTTTACCAAATGGAGAAAAATTATTTCTTCCTTCTTACCAAACGAACTATAAGGCACTCATGACTCGTCAAACAATATTTGAAAACTCAAAATATATAGTCCTTTTGTGGGAAAATAAGTTTTTATTTTTTTATTTTTTTTTTATTCACCGACAAGAAACATATTCACACCCCCCACAATGCCCCTATGGGGACTTAAACCCTTGACCTTTTCCTTGGGAAGCCAAAGAAATACCATTATGCTACACCAGCTTTCATATATATATATTAGAAAAGTTTTAAGGGAAATCAAGTACTTAAAATAGACATCTTATCTCAAGATGAGACAAGATTCCTATGATATCTCTTTTTACCTGAATTTACAATACCCTTGTTGAGGTTGGACGACTTTATGGTCTGTCCACTATACAATAGGACCTAATAACTGTTAGGTTTTTATTAACTAAATAAGTTTTAAAAACTTCTAATTTTTTTATAACCATCCAATTTATATTTTATAGTTGTATCTTTTATGAAAAAATCATATACTTTCATGAATATGTGAGATATAAATTTTGTAATTGGTAAATTTCGGTATTAAAGCAAGTCCGATCGAGTTGTAATTTCAATGACCATATCAAGATCAAGATCGGCTGCGGAATTGGAAAGTTGTTCAAAGATGAAATACTTAGATCGTCGAGAAAGGAAAGAATAACACTTTAGGCAGAGATCTAAGAAGGTTAGGACACTTGGTGTATTTTCATAACTTACCAAAATAGTGTTTTTCAAGTTTCAATCTTCAGGATTCAAGACTGGTAATCTTAAACCGGTTCAAGATCTTTGGAACCGGTTCAATACCTTCAAAGCTTGCTTTGAATTTTCACTACCCTTCTTGAACCGGTTCAGCCTTTCTTAAACCGGTTCAATGTCTTCTAACAGGTTAAGGAAACTTTAAATTCTAATATGATTTTCTTTCTTAGTTGGTTCAGAATACTACCAAAAGTCCTATGCAGAAAAATTATCTTTTCCTATGTATATTGAGGTCTTTGAATATTCAACCCTGATATTCATCTAGGTTTGTATAGCTTTTAATTACAACTTCATAATTCTTAAAAGCCTTAGAGAGATTATTTTTACAAGAAATCTATTTGATTTCTCTGTCATTCTTTCTAAAACACACACATAAACATAAGAGTGAGTTTAGAGTGTTATTTAAATCCTTATTGTGATCAAAGTTTTGCATCTACAACAATCAGAGAAAAACAAATTTACTTCTACATCGAATGCAGATATTAAAGAACAGAGGTGAAATGATCACATTTTGAAAGGGTCAAAGCATTCGAGGAGTGTTGTTTGATCTACCAGTAATCCTTCTACAGAGATCAAGAGTAAGCCTGAAGTCAAGTGATATTGGATGGGACATCGCACAGCCAGAGGATTGTCAACGATTAGTGTTTGGTAGAATGATAGGGTGTGAGCCTGAGTCAAAATCCATTGTACTTTGTTTCAAATATAGTAGATCGGTTTACGTTGGACTGCACAGTTCATGAGGTTT